ACATACATACATACATACATACATACATACATACATACATACATACATACATACACATATACATATACATGTATATATATATATATATATACATGCGTGTATTGTCTTGTATGTAAAGGAAATTGGATCCGTTTGAAAGTCGCACATATACCTCCAGTGGCACTACACAATACATTTCGATTTTTAAAACCAGGCAGTAAACAGCTCTACGGACACGGATACGAATCCATAGCGAAAACACTAATACACACGTATTCGAGTCTAAACCGGACGTACCTGAAATGCATTAGCAGAATCTTGAATGAACGTGGACACACACACGCGCAAAAAACGGAAGACTAAAACATTCACACAAAACGTATACAGCCCAGAATTAACAATCTTGCACATGCTTATAACAATCTAGCATGTACACACACACACACAGACATACAGACGCACAGACACAGACACAGACAGACGTGTCCCGAATGGCCATACCAACAGTCCCGTTTCGCGCTCCCATCAGCACAGTCACTTCGATCATAACGTAGATGCCATTGGTGTACTTCAGTGACGTATACCACAGCGACCGCCCATCCACACTGCGTTTGGCAATGGTGAAGATGTTATTGGCACGCAACACGTCTTCGATCCGATCTTCGGGGACGGCTATACTCTCTATCTGGGTCAGGCGCTCGTGGGCATCCGATATTGACCTCCAATTCTGGGATTTGGGATATGAAAATCGGGTTTTAGGTCAAACCCTTTACTTGGAAAAATATAGAAATTTGGGTTAAGAACCGGCCCAGACCTCAGCACAAACACTCCAAAACGCAGGCGCGAGTGCAGAGATGTGCGTGTCATCTGATCTAATCACTCTGGAGGGTCACTCCGATGTGGGATGAGCAATTCTCAGTAAACAACCTCTCTGCCAATGGCAATTGCAGAGGATATGACAGTCGGCAGTAAGTGATTGTGGGGTAGAGAAACCATCAGTGGAAGTATTCACAGACAATTCTCGACCCAGATCTCTAATCTAATTATTCACAGACAATTCTTGACCCAGATCTCTAATCTAATTATTCACAGACAATTCTCGACCCAGATCTCTAGTCTAGTTATTCACAGACAATTCTTGACCCAGATCTCTAATCTAATTATTCACAGACAATTCTTGACCCAGATCTCTAACCTCACCGCACTCGAACGGCCTGTGCGATGATCATACTCACAGCCGTAGTGGCTGAGCATGTGAGACTTAGTGCTACTACGACTGAAAGGGGCATGAACCATGGAAACAAAACACACACACACCACAGCAACAATGTGAACATTATTAAGAGACCTAGAGCTACAACGACTGAAAGGGGCATGAATCATGGAAACAAAACACACACACACCACAGCAACAACGTGAACACTCGCGCAGAACACACAGCACACACCTGTAGGAAGTCATCGCGTTCCATTTCACCGTCTGCTGTGAAGAGCACGTGATGCGGTACTAAACAATCGAAGAACAACACTCCTGTGTTAGTCTTAACAGCCACCTACAACCATCACACAACACGTGGCACGGGGGAGGGCAGCAGGCATACTGGTTAGACATGCGACATACGACAGTAACACAAAGATATTCCCGAACAAAGTACATTATACTTAATGCAAGATAGAAGGGGCCTGGGGTTTAGGGTTTAGGGTTTAAGTTGAAGAGATACAGGTTAGTACCAATACAAAGTAGTGGTTTACGTTGACTTGTTATGCAATACAAACAAAGAAACGATGCAAATCGGCGATCAAACATCAATGTTGGTATCTATTGCGAAACCACAGCCAGTTGAGCGCAGATGAGCACGTCTGTCCATAGACAACTTTTTACAATCGCCTGAATTTCCGCCAAAACACCGAGGTGGATGGTGTATTGTGTGTGTGCGCGTGTGTAGTTATGATCACTCGGTGTATTGTATGCGTGTGTCTGCATCGATTCCATCAGCAGATTATCAGATTATCATTAGTTTGGAGTGTGTGGAGATGTTCGGAGTCACATCCCATTCTAGCGATGAACAATCACCATAAAATATAAAATAAAAGCAGCGAACGGAAATCCCGGTTTCGATAAATAAATCGGAAATGAGATCTAATTTCGTTGTTCTGTGTGCTGGTGATCGTAGAACCGTATTTTGGGGATTAGGAATTTGGAATTTGGAATCACGAAATGGGTTGGCACGGCACATACCTGTAAGTTATTCAATGGCGTCATACGTTGCACTGGGCCAGTCGTACCGAGCAACAACTGGCGAGGGAAATGAGCAAAGAAGGAATTTAGGAGGGCATAAGAAAGTGTAATGGCAAGTATAGTCGATATATGCACATTAGGGATAAACGAGGCGAAGAGTGGATATAGATGTTACTTAATAGAGGATATTTGCGGGAGCAAGGATTTGAAGGGTATTCGTATCAATTCGATATATATATATATATATACATATATAATAATATATAATAATATATATATATACACACACACACATATATATATATAATAATATAATAATATAATCATAATATAATACAGTTATATAATAATATAAAAATATATGTCCATGTATATAATATATATATATATCCATATCCATATATATATCAATCAACCAATCAATCTATATACATATGTACATATATATAA